AAGCTCCAGTGATATACTTCAGTGGACACCCAAGAGTGCAAGTCCAAGCAGTCTTTCTTGCCCCATTGTTGTGTTTTCAAGTTTTTAAGAGTTAAAAATGACCTTTCATTTGTAGCTGTTGACACTGGCAATGTTGCAGAAATCTGAAGAAGTTTCCTCACATTCAAAAAACAACTGTCAATTACAGACAATATATGCTTCCAGTGCATTTGATGATTTTTCTGCAGGTGCAATCTTTTTCCATTTTCTACACCACAGGTCAGATTCCTCCATCAGTATGTCAGTATTTTGGATACATTCACTGTAAAGTTCTGTGCACTTGTTCAAGTTGGATTTTAAATGGCCACAATTAATAGGGAGGAACACTTGCAGTTCCTGAACTACTTCCCTATGCCTTGTCAAGATTTCTAGAAGCTGATTGCAGAAAAGGTCCAGAAGTGGAATATACACATTTAGCCTATAATATTTCATTGATGTTGGTGAAGTTGCCTGGATGATGATTTTAAAAGTCTGCCTGGAACAGATGTGCAGAATACGAACTTCTCCACCCATAGACTCACCACTGATCTTGCTGTGACAAATTTCTCCTGAAATTCTTTCACAGATTCTGTGCACATCTCCTTGGCTTTTTCTAAGTGTGCTGACATGTTACAGACTACAGAAAAATGTCCACATTTATTCTTTGTAAAGTTTTGCTAAGATGAAGGGATTATGACAGAAGGTATCTTAGGATGACTATGGTTTCTACAAATTCAGGATTCAGGACAACTAAAAGAAGGTTCCAGCTTGGGAAGAGGTCTCACTGTTGTATAGAGCACTCTCTTTTAGTTTTTCAAGTGTTCTCACCACCACACTGTACAGTTCAACAAAACGTAGAACTGTATGGTGTCACTCAACTCAATGAGTTTCACAAAGCTACAACATGTTGTTTGCTCTTGATTCAAGGAAACAGGTTTTTATATTTTTCTTCAACAGTTCCAGTCTGATGGATGATGTTCTGAAAAAAATGCATATTGTTCCTTGGCAGTTTCTGACAAGTAGAACGTTACATGGCTTTGCTAAAGTTAAATTGACCTAAGGCTAGTGAGCACTGCAGTGGATGTAGACAGCCATTGGATAAACAAGTATTGCAAGTTCAGCCCATTTTTTCCAATGTTTTCAAAAAAAACGCTTGCAAGTCCTCCACCTGTCATATCATTTATTTCCCTGAAGCTTATAAGTCTTGTCTTATTCCTGCAGCTTCAATATCAATGTACCTTACCAAAAACAATAACTGTTCTGATGCAGTCACATCCAAAGTTTCATCTGCTAAAACAGAGAACACTGTTATGCATTGCATCTTTCAACAATTTTTGGACTATCTTGTCACCACAGATGTCTATTAGTTCATTCTGTTTTTGAGGTCTCATAAATTGGGCATTCATAGCTGCAGTTTTGAGGTAACTTTTCAGGTCAGTGTCTCCTGATCTGCCACAAGATCTCAACAGGACCCTGAAATTACCATCATTGTGCCACAAAGGGCAATAGTTTCCACAATTTTTTTAGGTTGGCTTTAAACCCATCTTTAAATCTGCCTCGTTGTCCACCAACATTCTGTTTTTCATTCTTAAATTGAGAATAAAGTAACTGCTTTGGAAAAACAGTGATCAGGAATTCAGACAACGTAACTGATTCAGTTGATGGCAGACAACCATTTCAATGCTTTTAGTCTTTGTTTCTTTGAGAATCCTGATATTTGTTCACCTGTGTTCCCAAGAAATTTGCAGGATTTTTCAAAGGCAATGCTGATTGAATCTTTTTAGAAGTTGCTGCTCTTCAAGTCTCTTGGAGTGTTGTTATATCAATGTTAAAACATCTCAACTCTCTTGAAATAATATCACCTCTACATTCAGGGCATTCATTGTCTGTGTTGTCCAGCAGTGTCCATATGTTCTATGTTCCAAAATTCATTTGTCTTCTTCAACTGCAAGATGGTGACCCTTCTGGATATAACAGTCCAGCCAGGGATAAGTAAAAGAGGCAGACTTTGTTTAGAGAACCTTTTCTAGCAGAGTGGATCCTAGACAGAGCTGCTCAGTTGTGGAGACAGTTGCTGGACTGCTCAACTGCCTCAGACTTTGAATTAGAATGACTGAATACGTATTTACTGCCCATAGGCCTGTCTGTGGCTAGGGCTTCCAGATTTTCTGACTCACATCACCACTCACAAATCACCATGGGTCTATTGTTGGTTTTGGTTTGTTTGGAAGATACCTGTGCATGAATTTATTTTATATGTGGGGATCAGTGCACAGTGACCAATGCACAATCTTCACAGGAAAAAGTTCTAATCCAATAGCATGGATACCACAATGATTTGTGGTCTTCATCTGCCTTCATATGTACCATGTTATCATCTGCTTGTTCTGCCATTGAGGACATTATTAGAGCATTCTTTGTCTGGTTCCTCCCCTGTGACCTTGCTGCCATGTTTGGCCTTGCTGGGAGTACATGATTTTGAATTTGCGTGATTTTAAATGAATGTATTAATAATGTTTTAATTAATTTTTTAAATTGTAATTGTTATTTATAAATTTGTTTGATGGCATCAAATGGTTGCCTGCTGGGAAGCCACCTTGAGTCCCCCCTTGAGGAAACAAATATGCAAAATAAATAAATAAATACATGACTCCCAATGACTTTGCTCAAAGGTTCACTGGAGCACACAAGATCCGTCACCATGGCAAGATGACAATCCAGCAAGGGATGTGTGCACACTATAGTTATCTTAATACATGTCATTATCCAAATAAATTGTAATTTCTCATTTCTCAAAAGTACCTAAATTGATACCTTTTTGTTAGTTTTAAAAATGGACACCACTGCCCTGGGCTATAAAATATACTCTTCCCGTCCACCCCAATATGAGCACCTGCAACAGAACATGGGGCACAACACAAGCCGCTACTTGAACCATGTGATATTCCTCCTCCATTACCATTTAGTAAGAACACACTCCCGTAATTCTTAAAGAAACCAAAGTTTACAATTACACTACAAAGGACTGAAGCTATATCCCTTGTTGAGTACTAAGTCATTCCTCCAACATTTGCGGTTTTGACTTTTACTATTTTTATTATTCATGGATGTAGTTTTTAAAAAAGTTCTCTCTAGCATTCTCTAAGTCCTCCAGTGTGACTGTATGGTTATGCTGAAGGACCTAGAGATTTATAGAGAAATCTCCTTTCTTGGAATTTCTAGTTCTCCTAGCATAGTTAAATGGTCAATGTCTGCAGGAAGCTGAACAGAATCACACTTGAAGACCTAGAGGTTCCTGAAGGACTGTATACATTTCTAAATCCTTAGGTTTAAAAAAAAAACAATTTCTTTATTCATGGTTTTTCACTTCCACAGGGGTCTTATGACTCTAACCGTAACCAATGTGTAGGACTGATTGTAATGTTATGTAGGTATTTTTCCTTCATCCCACAGGAAAGGGATTCAAACAAGTAACTAGTTATTTCTGACCAATTACATCCAATGCCTGGGTTCTACAACACATCATATTCCCCACTTACATTACTCGTGCAATTTTCTTTTCTTTTATGCTATGTACAAGAAGCTTCCCCGGCTCTTTCTCAAGTAGGTAATAGCAATGCAACTTTAAAATGTCAAGTGCACCTCTAATGCATGTTTTCTTCTTTAAAAAATTAATTATTTTCAGACATATCAAAAAGAATATGAGTGCCTTTCCCTTTCAACTGTATTCAAGAACATTTCCCATCCACTTTCTCTAGTGGTTTTTCTGCTGCACTTCTGCAACAGAGATCAATAGAAATAAAGGGGTTGAGTTGACACAGTATTGGTAGGTTGGGAAGAGAGATATGTCAAGCAATTATCTTCATTAACGGAACAGAAAAGGACAAATGCTAGACCTTACTTATTCCCTGCAGTTGCTAACAAAAATCCTTTTAAAGTCAACCATTTTAGACATGTTCTTCTGGGACTCATTGACATTAAATAATTATAGATCTTTAGTCCACTTTAACTACCATAGCAACTTCCCATGAAATCACTGGATTGAGAGTTTCGGGAATAGAAGTGAGGATTTTAAATAAAAGAGCTGTAGTGAGTCACCAAACTACAAAACACAGGAATCCATAGGATGTTACCATGGCAACTGAAGTGGAATAAAGCATGATATTTGTGTAGTGTGAATGGCCTCTAGTTGTGGCATCTCCAGTGTCTCATAACTGGTGGTTGAATATGTCAGGTCTAGCAGAAATGGACAAATTGATAACCCTGATTAAAGACACGACAAAGGAGAATTTTAAGCAAAATTGGCAACCAGTTGGGCATTTGTCAGAACCATGTCATCTGTCATAATGTTTGAATATGTAATGTAATGTTAAGTAGAAGTTAGTATACCGGTATGTTATCCAATTCGAGAAATAATATGGTTAAAAAGTTTGCATTAAAGGAAATAGTTTTTTTTAATCGTGTCATCAGTACCTTGAGAATATACTGCAATTCACTTCTGGTGTGAGAGAATCAGCCATCTACAAAGACATTGCCCAGGGAACGCCCGGATGTGTTATGATCCTGTGGGAGGCTTCTCTAAAGTCACCACATGGAAAGCTGGGGCTGACAGACAGGAGCTCACCCTGTCTCATAGATTCAAACTGCCCACCTTCAGGTCTTCAGGTCAGCAGTTCAGCACAAGGGTTTAACCTTTTGCTCCCCCAAGGCTCCCAAGGAAGTAGGTTAAGAATGCCCAGATTATTATACTATTTGCATTCTTGACCAAGGAAGTAGGTTAAGAATGCAAATAATATCATCATCTGAATGGTTGGAAGGCTAACTCATTTACCTATTTATTTTGTTTTTCTTATAGTATTATAGGTTAAAGTAATTCGTATTAATTCATATATGTTTTTTACTACAGTGAAAATGGATATTTTTATGTAAGAAAAATACTTTATCCCCAAAGTAACGTCACACAGTTTGTAAACAATGTATACCTGGTCCCCGATGTCTCTTTTCCATCCAAATGTAACAATTATTCTGAGCTACACCAGTCTGCGAGTCAAGGAAAGGTAGACGGACACTGCGTTCAGCACAGAGCCGGGAGTTGTAGCTGCGACAGTGCTCTATGGCTTCTTTGTAGAACTGGTCCCCAAGACTGCAGTGTAGAGAGAAAAAGGAGATTAGAAAAACATCCACCATCTTTCCTATAACCCATAAAGAAAGAAAAAAGGTACAAAACCAAAAAATCAGCTAAGAATCAATGTAAAAATGGGTGAAAAATTACAGCTGTCAATTTCAATAAACTTTTAGTCATGGGCCTCGTTCTCTTTAAGAAGCCTTGTGATACAATATACAATACCTCAATCTGCCCAATAGTAGACCTTACTCTGCCTGAGTACCAACTTTCTATGTGCACTGAGGATTTGCCTCCGAGCCTCCCAGACATGGTTGGAAATTTTGCCCATACCCCCTGGTTGTACAGACCATGTCAGAACCAGTATGGAGAACCAAACAAAGACACTGCTTCCAGCATGTCAAGCATCCTTTCAACTGAATCCGTCTAAATCTAATGTATATGGCAAGATCAGATGGAATTTGGAGGGCTCCATAACACAAGGTCAATGTATGCATTTGCACTATTCTTCTTGAGAGGAAAAATATTTTAAAACATGCATAATGCAAGGCACTTTTCATAATTAAAAGAGGGGGCACATCATATTGATTTCCAAGACTATTATGCCTCATTCTTGTAACAACTCTCACTTGACAGATAATTATGCAATTTAGTAGAAAACAAGGATAGTTATGGAAGCATTATTGTATACAGTGAAGCAGGAATCAAGTAAAACCCATGTTTCATACAGTCTTGCAGAGGCAACAGTTGTAGCCTGGTTTTTTTTCTCTTGGACATATTTCCATTGAAATAAATGGGCAAGTTTGGATGAGACGAAATCTCAAGTCTTTCAGAGAATGGAGCACGGACCTTATATTTAGATTGATGTCTAGTGAGAACACAATCTGTATGATTTATTAATAGCAATCAGATTGTTCATCGTGCTTGGCAATCAGCGGTAATAATCATCAACAGTAATGATGAGAATGATAATTCACGCAAGTAACACAAAAACACTTGCAAAGAAGTATTTCCAAAAACACTTTTGCTCCCTTCTTCCAGCTCCACATTCACCAAATAAAAGGAGTTCAAATGGTTAAGATCATACATACAGAAGCAGTGCTGTGGAAGGGATTAACACACACACACCATTTGGAATCACATTTTTCCACTCCTGCCATGTGCAAAAATAAAGTATATTGTATAGATATGGATGATCATAAGTGCATCCCAAATTTAAAAGGGGAATGATTTTAAAAAATCAAGACTAATCCCCAAATGTTATAAATGCAACAATAAAAATAACTGACAGTTGTGATACAAAAGGAATTACACTATCCCTTGTTAATATAATTCCCATAATTATAGATATTTTGTTGTCACAATCATGATTATCCTTCCATTTTTCCCATTCTGGGACTCAATGTAGCTTACAAAAGTTAACAAATACAAGTAAAATCTTTCACATCACAATTAAATCTATATAAATAAAAACGTAATGTTCATTTGTGGGATTAACATAACTCAAAAACCACTGGATGAATTGACACCAGATTTGGACATAATACACCTGTCAGGACAACAAGTGACCATCACTCATAAAAACACTGAAAAACACTGCAGAAGAGACTTTAAAAGCCAAAAAAATAAAAAATACATAACACATGCACAAAACCTATATGTGTGTGTGTGTGTGTGTATGTGTATGTGTGTGTATGTGTGTGTATATATATATATATATATAAACACAAATATATACACATACATATACACACACACAAAACCCATATACACAGACTGGGCCACAACAACGCGTGGCAGGGGACGGCTAGTTATCAATGAAAGTAAAAGCTGTCCTAAACAAACATTAAAAAGAACCACAAACACAGAGCACAGGAAAAGCCCTTTCTGCTTGAGTATTCAGTCCTTACAGAACTGCCAAATCAAAAAAGACTTCTCCTGTCTACAAAAAGAAAGTGAAGGAGGTGTCAGTTTAATTTCTCTAGGAACTTAGTTTCAGAACTGGTTACACGTAATTCATTTGTAAAAAGTTTCTTCCAAGCTCTGACAAAGAACAAAGCATTAGACAAGACATCCCACCCATGGCTCCTCTTAGCAGCACTGGAAGTACATTTCAAGTGGCTGCTTAGGTCTTGCTCCTTTGAAATGGCCCACCAATGGCAAACTTAGAGAAAGATATGTGGATCAGATCCTGGTAAAGTTACTTTATAGGCCACCATTCCCAAAATCTCCTAACCACATGGCCAGTTCAAAAAGTATTTTTTCCATTTTCTAGTGCAGTTGTTCTCAACCTTCCTAATGCTGTGACCCCTTAATACAGTTCCTCGTGTTGTGGTGACCCCCAGCCATAACATTATTTTTGTTGCTACTTCATAACTGCAATTTTGCCACTGTCATGAATCGTAATGTAAATATCTAATCTGCAGGATGTATTTTCATTCACTGGACCAAATTTGGCAAAAATACCTGATATGTCTAAATTTGAATACTGGTGTAGTCTGGGAAGGGGAGATTGATGTTGTCATTTGGGAGTTGTAGTTGCTGGGATTTATAGTTCACTTACAATCAAAGAGCATTCTGAACTTCACCAGCGATGCAATTGAACCAATCTTGGCACACAGAACTCCCATGACCAACAGAAAATACTGGAAGCGTTGGTGGGCATTGACCTTGAATTTTGGAGTTGTAGTTCACCTACATCCAGGGAGCAGAAGGAGGGCTTTTGGTAGGAGCATTCACTGTCTGTTTCCAAAAAGGAAGAGAAGGACAGGTGGAGAGATCTTCAGCCTTCTCTGCCAAATATGTGTTTTTGATGGTCTTTGTTGAAACCCCCCTCGCAACCCCCTCCCCAGGGGTCCCGACCCCCAGGTTGAGAAACACTGTTCTAGTGTCAAAAGACCCTGGTAGCTGTGCAACAGTTGGACAATACATGTGAACTTCCCTGAACCTTTTTTGTTGCCAAATTTGGCAAATAAATGACTAAAATATTAAGAAACGCAGGCATCCGATAAGCGAGGGAGCAAGAGAAGACCAATGAGATGGCAAGAGCTTCAGGGAAGGAGGGTTTTTTTAAAGTATCTTGAGTGTGGGAAGAGATGTTGCCAAAAAATGTCCAAAGTTTAGAAGAGAGAAGGAGAACTACGAGACAGTCACATCTTGGGAGATCTCATGAACCCAGGATGACCCATCGAAGGAAGGGATTGTTTACTCCTCCATCTTCCTTTCCCAGAGATCAGACATATAGCCCCACACAATATTTTATTAGAAACCTCAGATGCAGATGAATCAGATTAATAGCTGTGACCGGAGTGACTGTAAGGGTTAATTAATGCAAACACACCTACACACAAACATACTTCCTTCTTATCCTTTTCTTCTTCCCCCATCCCAATCTAAATTAAAGCCACCCCTGTATGCGTGTGTAAATGTATGCATGTGTATAGCAAGGCTCCTTCAACAGATGTATGAAAGACAATAAATGTAACCTTTGTGGTTTTTCTTGGCATTGACGCAGAGGTAGAAGATTCATATCAGAGTTTATGTTTACTGCTGAAACTGCCATACAACTGTGTGTAAAAAACACTGGATTTTACGGGGGTGGGAAGGAATGGTGAGGCTGCTCTGAGATAGTATTTCTTAGGATTTTCCAGTTGTCTGAGGAATACTGGTGGAGTCATTTCCCTGCCAGAGTGCGGGGAGGGGAGATCTACTATATTGAACCAGGAAGGGAGGGGATAGGGCTCCAGATATACAATCTAAGTAAAGATATGCCAACCTACTGAGAAAGCTCCCCATGCAGAAATCCCAGGGCTGCTGTCTAGGCCCCTATTTCAATTAGGGGAGGAAAGCTGAAAACTCAACTGAAGCCTGGCTAGGAAGAAATGAAGCTTATTAAAAGTGATAATTAAAGCTGGGTAACATACAACCTTGTTTAATCAAACTCACTAACAAGGAGGCTGAAATGGATCAACAGTGACTCGTTTTTTTTTCTCAGCAGCCCTTGTATGTCAACAACAGCATTATCTCACATTTCTGTGATGGTTAAAGTGGGGGTGCACAGAGGAAGTCAGGACTTAATAGGACAAAGAGAGCATGTGGAATGAAAACAAACTATCGCCAATTGCTCATGCTCCCTGTACACCGAGCTTTCCTCCCTACTCATGAAATATGAGTAGTTCCCATCACTTTGAATTAACCAAAACTATGTAATGATAAACTACAGGGATCCCCGCTAGAACCTACTTTAGTTGCACTGCTAAAAATACAAGCCAATCTTCAAACATTAAATGTTTTCATTAATTTGGCAGCATTGAGGATTCCTTTTCAAAAACATGGGTTTTGCTAGGGGAGGGATAAACGTAATATAAAATTGCAAGGCCTTGCTTTTATCTGCAGTTTCTAAGCAAGAAAATAAACAACTCTAGTTTGTAAACCAAGTTTTCAAAACATGATTTAAAAAAATAATTAATCCTATTTTAATAATTAATCCAATTAGAGTGAAACCACTGAATCAACAGGATTTATCTACTTGTTGTTCAAGAGTTGATTCAATGGGTCACTTTAGGTGGGCCAAATCAGCAAGATTCGAACCAACATACTTAATTAGCCGATGTTGCACCCCCGGTGGCACAGTGGGGTAAACCCACTGAATGAAGACTGACAAGTTAGAGGTTCGAATCCGCTGAGAGTGCAGATGAGCTCCCTCTGTCAGCTCCACATGCGGGGACATGAGAGAAGCTTCCCACAAGGATGGTAAAACATCTGGGCGTCCCCCAAGCAATGTCCTTGCAGATGGCCAATTCCCTCACACCAGAAGTGACTTGCAATTTCTCAAGTCACTCCTGACATGGAAAAAAAATCTGATGTTAACAAGCTAAAATTCACACTGTAGACTCAACCAAACTAAAGATGTTTTTTTACAAAAATCTAAGTTGCACATTCCTGCATTTAGCTTTGTTCCCACAGGGATTGCTGAGGAATGCAGAAATCTCATTCTGTGAGCTTCCAAAATCAGGTGTGTT